ACCTCTTTTTAAAATAGCACAAAGAGCCCAGCATTTAGCTCACTGGTTGGGAGCTGACCCATGCACCAAGAAGTCATCAGTTTGATTCCTGGTCAGGGCATATGCCTGGGTTTCGGGGTCCCCCAGTAGGGGATGTACAGGAGGCAGCTGATGTTTCTATTTCATTGATGCCTCCATCTCTCTCCTTTTCCCTTCTCCTCTCTCAAAAATCAATATAAACCTAAATAAATAAATAAATAAATAAATAAATAAATAAATAAATAAAAATAGCACAAAGATACAATGGTGGCAGCAGCAGCCATGACCTTTACTTCCCCTTTATGGTACTTAGCACAATTATAATTTTACATTTATTTGTTTCCCCCACTATAAGCTCTATGACAGTAAGAAAGTATCTGGTTTTGCTTATTATCAAGGATTCCAACCTCCCAGAACTGCCTGCCACATAGTGGGTATTTAAGAAACATTAATTAAATGCACGAGACATTTTTTATTGTTGAAAGAATATTAGGCTTTTTGAAGGCAGGGACAGTGTCTAATTTTCCTTTTTATTTCCTCCTCCCTATGCAATTATCATACTGTTTTGCACATAAATGGCATTCAGTAAATTCCTCTTGATTGATCTAAAAATATTCAAAGAAGCATATGATGTTCTGTTCATAGAAAACTAGATCTGCAAGCATTTGATTACACACTGCATGAGTGATGATGAACAGCTGCTATTTATGAAGCTGAAAAGACAAAAAAATGTTGAATTAATGAGAAATTGACTTCAATTGAAATAGGAAGAATTTAATTTAGCTTTTGAAATTTATTTTCTGACATGAAGCTTACAAGATACTAGAAGACAACATCAAGGGAGACTGTGAATTTTCTTTTCCTTTATAAATTAAATGATCTTTGAAAATTTTCCAAGATAGAACAACCATTTTGAAGACTAAGGGGTATTTCTAAATAGAGTTCTCAGCAGTCTAATAGGAGATCAATTTAAAATAAATAATAAATAATGTTCTGGGCCCTGGCCAGGTAACTCAGTTGGTTGGAACATTGTCCCGATATACCAAAGTTGCAGGTTTGACCCCCAAGTCAGGGCACATGCAAGAAGCGAACAACAGAAATTGATGTTTTAGGTTCTTTCTCTGTGTCTCTCTCTCACAAATCAATTTTAAAACTAAAGTTTTAGGGGGGGGGATAATTGTATAGAAATAGTAAATAGAGTTCCTATATATTCCTCACCCAGTTTCCCTCATTGTTAACATCTTACATTACTATAATACAAAAAAGAGTGAGAGAGAGAGAGAGAGAGAGGAGAAGGAGGAGAAGGAGAAGGAGGAGGAGGAGAAGAAGAAGAAGAAGGAGGAGGAGGAGGAGGAGGAGGAGGAGGAGGAGGAGGAGGAGGAACCAAAGCAGCAAGAAAAAAAATAAGAAAATAGGAAAAAAAAAAAAAAAACCTGGCTGGGTAACTCAGTTGGTTAGAGCATTGTTCCAATACACCAGTGTTACAGGTTCTATCCCCAGTCAGGACACATACAAGAAACAACCAATGAATGCATTAATACAGTGGTTCTCAACCTGTGCTCCTAGCGGGAACTGAACCAGGGACTCTCTGGTCCACAGGCCGATGCTCCATCTGCTGAGCCAAACTGGCCAGGGTCGTGACCCTTTAATACAGTTCCTCATGTTGTATGTGGGTGTATCTGCATGGGGGTGGACCCTCCTGGAGACAGATAGAGGAATGGTGTCTATGTGTTTCCCGATGGTCTTAGGCAACCCCTGTGAAAGGGTAGTTCGACCCCCTAACGGGTCGTGACCCACAGGTTGAGAACCACTGCATTAATAAGTGGAACAACAGCCCTGGCTGGTTTTGCTCAGTGGTTAGAGCATTGGCCTACGGTCCAGAGAGACCTGGGTTCGGTTCCCGCTAAGGGCATGTACCTCGGTTGCAGTCTGTCCCCGGCCCTGGTTGGGTCATGCGGGTGGCAACCACTCGATGTGTCCCTTTCACGCCAATGTTTCTCTCGCTCTCTCTTCCTCTCACTCTATCTGAACAAAATATGGAAAAGTGTCCTCCTGGTTGGGTCGTGCGGGTGGCAACCACTCGATGTATCCCTTTCATGCCAATGTTTCCCTCTCTCTCCCTCTCACTCTATCTGAACAAAATATGGAAAAGTGTCCTCCGGTGAGGATAAAAAATAATAATGAAAAAATAATAATAATAAATAATAAAATAAGTGGAACAACAAATCTCTCTAAAAATCAATTTAAAAAACTGAAAAAGCAAAAAAGAAAAGAAAAAAATTGTATGATAGATTATGTGGTCTAAAGATCAAGCTCAGAATAGAATTACATAAATCTAGAGCTCACTGAAGCCTTCATCTCGAGGCAAAAGTACTTTGGCTTTTCAGTCAAACTTAAATAAGATCCCGAGCTCTGTCACTTTGAAGAGCTGTGTATCTTTGGACTTAGCCATGGTTCTCACATTTGTAAAATGTAGGTGGCAAGACCTCTCCAACTGTGATGGTTCCTGAAATCCTTCACTAGAATTCAGTGTTAGAAATGTAGGATTTTTAATAGCTAATATGGCTTTTGTATTTATTAAATATTACCATAAAGATAACACTCTATATAGACAAGCTGTTGTGCTGACATGTTCATAACCCCATAATTGATGATTGGTAAATTACTGTGCTGACTTGTTTATAGCTCCATAATTGATGACTGGGAAAGTCACTGTGTGCCCTCTAGCTGAACCTGTTTTGTAAAGAATTTAATCAACAGGATAGAGATCGAAATAACCTCAGTAAATTGGAATACTCCTTGAACCAAGAAATTGTTGGGAGCAGGTTACATGTCTAACAGAGTCCACAGAGCCTGGAGGTCTTGAGTCAGAGAATCGACCTCTCCCACAATCTCAAGGAATTAAGCTTGCACTGTGTTTGCGCAGCTCAGGGCTAAGTGTGACCCAATGTACTTTGAAATACCTGGGTGTGCCTGGGTGTTCTTGTTATCCACAAGGCAAACTAATTCTATACAGCATTGTTGTAGCCCTGGATATTATATCAAGAAGATCCTATTTTCTTATATCATTAAACTTTTGCTGTAAGGTATAAAATGCATGTAAAGCATATCGAGACTGATCTCCGAAGACTCTGTCACAGGGGTGTTCAGAATCAGATGTTGGCTGGCTAATAAATGGCTCTTACTTGGACTTCAATTCTCTAGTGGTCTTTTTTTTACTCTATTGCGCCACAACACTGTGATATTTTACATATGTTAAATTAGTGACAAAGACTCTCCTTGAACAAACTTTAGTCAGGCTACCCTGAACCCTCCCTTACATTAAGCTTTGTCCTTGGGTCTTCCGCCTGCCTAGACCAGTTGTAGCAAGAATTCTAAGTCAGTTTAGAGAGAATCCCCACCCTTGATATCTGATCACCCTGGATATCTGATCAAATTCCTTATCCCCTACCCTTGATGTATCTGATCACCCTGACAAGTTGGTTTAGGACTAATTCCACCTATCCTTGATGTCTCCTCTAGTAAGTTTCTATCTACCAATCAATCCCCCTGTAGTGAAGTAAAGACTTCCATCTACCCTCCTAGGTTTGATAACTGGGTCTATGAAATAAACTGACAACAGGCAGGTTAACAAGAGAAAAGGTATCTACATTTATTAATTTTTTAATATTACATGTCAGGGGCATCACAGAGGAAGAAAAAAATGGAATTCCCCAAAAAGCAGTGCGCTCATATCATCTTAATAGGGGAAGGGGAGGAGGGATGTATGCCACATAGGGAAGAGTAACAGATGATTGGCCCTTAAAATAGATGACAGATGCCCTGGCCCATTTTGCTCAGTGGTTAGAGCGTCGGCTCTCAGACTGGAGAGAACTGGGTTCAGTTCCCGCTTGGGGCATGTACCTCAGTTGCAGTTTGTCCCCGACCTCTGTTGGGGTCGTGTGGGTGGCAACCAGTGGATGTGTCTCTCTCACATCGATGTCTTTCTCTCTTTTCCTCCCTCTCTCTCCTGTTCCATCTGAAGATAAATGCCAAAAAAAAAAAATGTCCTTGGGTGAGGATAAAACATTTTAAAAAATTGATGAGAGTGTGTGACAAATTCTGGGTGTAGTGTGGACTTCTAATCTCTGTGATAAGAGTCAGTCTTCCTTGGTTGATGAAACTCCTGGAAAGGGAATTTATAACAGTTGAGTTCTTTTTTGGAGGATCTGTCTTTAAGATAAGGGGAGTTCATAGAAAACCTGTTTTCTAAATGCCTTCAGTTCAAAACTATTAACATTCCAAAGCAGCATATTATCCTGAACTCCTTCACTCCCATTCTGCTCCTTGATTAAAAATACCCTCCTGTCCTTCTGTATACAGAGTTGAACCCAATCTCTCTGCTGTTGCAAGTCTTGACACTTATAATAGCCTTGAGTAAAATTCCTTACTGTTTTAACAAGTGTCAGAATAATTTTTTAACATTAGTAATAATTAATATTAGCTAATTTCTATTTATTATCCCTGACTCATCAGAAAAATTTATATCCCTCCAAGTTTTAATAAAACTCCTTTAAAATCTTTTTGCTTTATTATGGATTAACACCCATGCTGAAAGGCATTATACTTCAATGTGGCTTTTATTCAAATGTTCAGCGCTTTTCTAATTTTATGACTAGTAGTTGATTCCTACTTCCCAGCTCCCACTCATCCCAGAAATGTAGATTAATTTGCTTTGGAAATGACTTAGTTGATTATCCTTTATTTGTAGAGCTATATTTCACAAATATCCTTTCAACAGAAAAGGAGAGTATGTTTATCTCTGTCTATGAAAATGCCATACCAAAGCACGTGTTACTTTTTCAGTGGCTGACACTATACCAGTCTCAACTGAGTAGTGCTGAGCAATGCCTGGCACATTATAAGAGTTCAACAAATACCTTCAATTAATATTATTAAGACCTGAACTTTAATATTTTTAAGGCTTTCTTTTTCTTTTCTTTTTTAATATGGAAAGGTTCACAAATTTGCGTGTCATCCTTGGGCAGGGGTAATGATAATATTCTCTGTATCATTCCAATTTTAGTATATGTGCTGCTGAAACAGCTTCCTTATTTTTCTTATCTTCATTGCAAAAACAATTTATGTGCCCTGCTTTTGTTTTACCTTCCTTTTCTCATTCTCAACTGATTTCTCTCCTTATCTCCCAAAATAAGAGTGACTTGCAATCTTCAGATAACAAAACAGAGAGAGATAATGACATTCTTTCTCCCTGTTAAGGCATCTTGCAAAAGTAATTCTGTACACTAGAATTTTACGGATGGGGCACTCTATACTGGTTATCCATTGGCAATGTAATGAGGTCTAAAAGAGGAAAAGAGAATATATACATATATATTATATATCATCCTCTACTCAGGAACACGCAGGCGTGGAGGAGAAAATTGAACTTATCTATGGGGATTTTGATCTGTGGCCCAGAGCAAGCAGAAACTTGGTGGAGAGTGGTTTAAGAGAAAGTGCGATGGGTGGAGGGTCTGAGGGTCTGCTCCGAGATTCTTTTGCGTGGATGTGGTGTGTTTGGGCCTTTGGGGCGAGTGTGGAGCTAAGTTTCAGTAGTTTAAAAGGCAAGTTAGAGGTTTTTCCGAGAAAGTTGGAAGGAGAAGCCTGCGTGTAATGGGCTTTTTAAAAGGAATTTAGGGACCATGTCACTCCTAGACCCTTACACACAGCTGAAAGAGAGGAGTACATTTTAACTTAAGGGGTTTTGGTGATTCTCTTAAAAGGAGGTTTTGTGCCCGCTCCTGCCCTGTGGGTGGAGATGGGGTATGCCCGCGGGTCAGTGAGCTTTTCTTGAGGAGCCGAATTGAGAGGGACATCTCCTGACTTGGAGGGGAAACCCACCCTTGAGGAAGAAATGAGAAGGGACGGGTACTCTTTTGATACTTTTGAAAGTTTTCACGAAGATAAAGGGGACAACCTGGAAAGGTGTAGGGAATGATAGTAGAGTTGGCTGTCTTTAAGGTGTGGGCTCATGGCCTCGCAAGTATTTGGTTATATATATCAAGCAAGTACTCATGAAATTTTAGGTCCCTTCCTATTTCATTTTTACAGTTTAGGACAGTGAAGCCCCCCAAACAAGTAGTGATAACCAAGTTCAAGTTCTACAAAGAAACAGGGTGTGTGTGTGGCTGTCATTTTCCTTTTCCTGATGCTCATTTAGTTTTGTGGCTAATGACCCATGTAACAAATCCACGAGGCTCACCAATGTATTTGGCATCTGTCAAGAACCTAGATATGGTAACATTTAGAGATAAACATTTTGGTGAGGTATAATCGTTTTGCTGCCTTCCCCTACAATTTTATATTATCTGGTGTGCCAAAAAATATTGTCCATCGTTTAAGTCTCAGTCTCATACATAGTTGGAGATAACCATGGGTTTTGGGCCTTGGCGTTGTTCAGGGCCTTGATGATTCTTTAACAGTTAAAAAGAGCACTTTGGACTGTAACTCATTGGAGGTCTGAAATCACTATAATTTTAGGATATTCCTACTTAACCTTTACCCAGTATTGGCACCAATTGGGTGAGGATAAGCATTCATCGCAATAAATATTCACCAAGAATTTAGGACGCAGCCATAAGCAAAGATTTGGTAGCGCTCTGAAACCCACCACGAGCTACGGAAACCCGATGAAGACCACCTGGTTCAGCAAACAAGACTTCGAAGAGGAGGGGCTTGGAATAGGCGGGTCCGAACAACCCAGCGCGAGAATACGCCCCAGCGCATGCGTACTTCTTAGTCGGTAACTTCCATTTGCTAGATGGGGGAGACAAGTGGAAATCAGCTTACAGTTTTTGAATTTCTATTTTTAACCAAAAATTAAATTGTGAACAGTATCATGAATAATTTGAGAGCCTTATACTCCGAGTTCAAAATTAAGAACATTTGGCATACATCGCTAACGTAAGAGGTTACTTCTTGCACCTTCCCCGTCCCCTGGGACATTGGTGGTTTAGTCCATTCCACAGACTTTCGAGTCCTTGCAGCGAGTCGGTGATCGAAGGATTGGGCCAATTGCGACTGAAACGTCTTTGGAAGAAGGAAGAGGGTGCAGGAGCATCCTTTCGAGTTCCGCCTCTCCTTTTTCGAGGCGGTGGTGGGGAAGGGGGACATACGAAATACTGCTCTCGAAAGCCAACGGATCACGTCTCTCCGTGCAAACTGCCCGGAGGGCGGCGGGAAAAGACCAAGACGGGAGAAGGGAGAAGGAAGGAGGCAGGAAGCCGCGCGGGAGGGCGCGCGCGCGCGCGCCCCTTTTACAGCAGTGTGGCGGGGTCTCACGCACGCCCGCCTCGGCGGCTGGGCGCGGTTTGCGACAGTGGGGGAAGCGGTGGAGGTGGCGGCGGCAGTGGCAACTTTGCGGCAAGCTCTGGCCGGGCTTGCTTGACGGCGGTGTGGCGGAGGCCCCGCCCTAGGCGGCAGGAACCTGGAGGGAGGCGGAGGAATATGTCCGAGAGGGAAGTGTCGACAGCCCCGGCGGGAACAGACATGCCTGCGGCCAAGAAGCAGAAGCTGAGCAGCGACGAAAACAGCAACCCAGACCTCTCTGGAGACGAGAATGTGAGTGGAACTCTGAGTGGTTCCGATGGGACTCGAGTGAAAGTTTTAAATTTTTTTTATACTGTGGGAGCGGGGGCGGGCGCCTGTGGGGGGAGGGAGAGATGTCACCCTCTACCCAGGAAAACGCGGGCGTGGAGGAGAAAATCGAACATGTCGCTGTGGGGATTTTGATGTGGGGCCGAGAGCAAGCAGAAACTTGGCGGAGAGTGGTTTAAGAGAGAGCGCGGGGGGCGGAGGGTCTCGGGGTCCTTTCGCGTGGATGTGGTGTGTTTGGGCCTTTGGGGCATTTGGGGCGAGTGCGGAGCTGAGATTCCGGTAGTTTAAAAGGCAAGGTAGAGGTTTTTCGAGAAAGTTGGAAGGAGAAGCCAGCGTGTTATGGACTCTTTTAAAGGAATGTAGGACCGTGTAACTCCTGGACCCTTACACAGCCGGGTGGGAGGAGTACATCTTAACTTAAGGGGTTTCGGCGATTCCCCTAAAAGGGGGTTTTGTGCCCGCTCCTGCCCTGTGGGTGGAGATGGGGTATGCCGGCCGGCCGGCCAGCTTTACTTGAGGAGGAGCCGAATTGAGAGGGTTGTCTCCTGACTTGGAGGGGAAACCCACCCTTGAGGAAGGAATGAGACGGGACGGTTACTCCTTTGAAAGTTTTAATAAGATAAAGGGGACAACCTGGAAGATTGTAGGGAACGGTCGTCGAGTTGGCTGTATTTAAGGTGTGGGCTCATGGCCTCGCACGTGTTTGGTTTTTGGAACTAGATTAAGGAAAAAAAACACCTGAAATGGATCTTGGTAATCATCTTGTTCCAACTGTGCGTAGGTGAGATGCCAGTAATAACCGAATTGACATTAATTTTCAGTTCCTGTTTTACTGTATCCAAGAAGGTCTGCAAAACGTCTTGGCAATTTATTTAAAGATATTACTCCAAAATGCGAACCCCTTTTCGTAATATATGGCAATAGCATCGGAATGTCTTTTTTTTTATCCTCACCAAGGACATTTTTGCATCCATCCTCAGATAGAGGAGGAGGAAACATCGAAGTGAGAAAGAGACATGTACTCTTTGCGGCCCGCAGGACCCCGACAGGGGCGGGGACAAACTGCAACCGAGGTACCGTGCCCTTAGCAGGAACCCAACCCAGGACTCTGGTCCACAGGCCGAGGCTCTAACCGCTGAGCCAAACCGGCCAGGGCCAGAATATCTTTTTTAAATCTGTGAAGTGTTACAGGAGGGCAGTGTAAGTTCTTCATTTTTTCATTTGGCTAGTTTTAGGAATAAATATAACATTTTACAGATCCATTTCTTAAATTCTACATCACTGATTGAAGCATGTATGTGGATGGCATGGCGTCATGCCCAAAATTTTCACTGAAGAGATGGGAAAAGAACTCTTTTTTGCAGATAGAAGATTTTCAGGGGATTGTCAGTGGGGTTTGGACTTGAAGTATCTGGAAAGCTTAAGTTTGGAATGCTGCTTTAAATCTTTTGTTTGTTTGGAATGCTGTTTTAAATCTTTTGTTTGTCTTCTCAGTCTTGTTACATATATACTGAATAAATAAGACTTCTGACTTTTCCATTCCAGTCCTTGGAGCCTGTTTTATTTCTGCCTTCTCTTAAATTTCTTTAGGCAGAATAGGTTAGTAATAGGAGCACAGGCATTATCCAAATGTTAGATTAAATTTTTCACTCTACTGCTTACTGGTTGCATGACCTGTTTGCTTCAGTTTCTTATCTTATAAATGGAGATAATAATGGCATTTACCTCTAGGGCCATTTGTAAGGATTAAGTGAAGTAGTATAGGTAAAGTGCTTAAAACAACACCTGAGTAAGTACTATTCAGGTGTTATTTCATTACTATTACTTATTTTGTGATCACATAGTATAAACTTGTGTTTCTGATCATTCCACATACTAAATAATCAGGCAGAAATGTAATGAAAATAACTATAATTTATTTAGACTGAGAAAGATTTCAGGTGACCAAATAAATTGAAAGTTTACTTTCTTTTTTCGCAGACTCTTGTTATATACTTGGTGCATTATAAAGCTATTCACAACCAGATGACTGGATTAAGCCTTTGTTTTGGTTCCTCCATCTGGATGGGGACTTGAACCTTTATTGTTGTCTTGGGCACCTTATTGAATCCTGTGAAGCCTTCTCAGAATAACATTTTTCAAATGTGCAAAATGCAGTGAAAAGGTTACAAACAAAATCTTTGATAAAATTATAAAATGTTATAAAATATTTTTGTGATTTGTTTTAATAAAGTACTGTAGATTAAGAAATATTTGTAATCAAATCAAACCATGAACATTTTTCTGTCACAGACACTAATAGCATTATATTCTACCACACCTGTTTTTGCAGGAATTTCTCACTTTTATTTTTTTTAATTGAATTTATTGGGGTGACATTGGTTAATAAAACCATACCAATTTCAAGTGTACAATTCAAAACATCTGCACACTGCATTATGCACCTATC